TGATATGAAACGTAGCTGTTCTTGATATATTGTGATATGGGCTTACTTCTCCATGGTGTTGAGTGGACTCTCCTTTCTTTCATATAGCGTTTTCATCTTTATGAACTTATACCTTTTAATTTGTAGAAATACTACTAATAATGTAAATAATATTTAAACATATAAAGTAATACATGTTTTTGTGGTTGGTTTTTATCCATATACAGAAAGAAAAAGGTTGGGACTTGGCCAATCACAGGAAATGAATACCTTGTTCCGGTTCTGGTCCTTTTTTCTTCGAGAACATTTTAACCGTAAAATGTATGAAGAATTTAAGAGACTAGCATTAGAAGATGCTAAAGCTGGTTATAGGTAAGTTTCTAGTCTGTATAAAAAAGAAAAAAGGTTTGATAAAGAGAAAGGTAAAACTTTGATATTCTATGGCCCTTATGATCATTTATTGAAAAATTAAGTTTTTATTTAATTATTTATAGTTTCAGAACTACAGAACATAAACTTTCAAACATCATTAATATTGTACGTACAAATCTGTTAAATGGTTAATATTTATAATGCAAAATAAGTTGAATGTAAATTTTCCAATCAGTATATATTAAGTATGTTGAATTTATTAATGGAATATTTAAAGATTTGAATCTTCCATAAAGATATAATTTGAAAATGGTGAAGTTATGTATTATGATTTTAAAAAATATTATGCTGTTAAAAACATAAATATCCTTTTGTCTGCAGCCATTATTTTGAAATCATTTTTGTGTCCTTTATATAACACATTGATTTTATTTTATTAAGTTTTCATAAAAGCTACCCACATACAATTTGGTAAAATAATTTTTGCACATTTATTTAATGATTTTCCATCTCTTTTGAGAACCATTCTGTAACATTTACAAGAGTTACATTACAACTTGTTGTAATACTATTTCTTTGTAATATGTCATCATCATCATCATAGACAGCAGTACATCGATAATTCTACCGATGCTTAGCTGCCACACAATCATGAATTATTATTACAAGGAAATGGGGACAAAAGTGGGATCTAACACGCCATGAATACGGAAATGGTGGAGCACATACATGCGGGGGCACAGCATCTAAGCCATGCATACACAAGCACTCGAGACAAGTCCTCTGGGCGAGTCCAGCGACATCAGCGCGACAGCTTCCTTGCGGCTTTCATGTGCCCTTTAATTGCTTTTTAATAATTTTTTTTTTAAATACAGAAATGTAAATTTAATGAAATTTCATGCTGAAAAAATCCACAACATTGAAAACTTATGATATTGATGGAAATTTTTTTTGTAAAAAGAAATGTTTACATATTGATTCCTTATTTGGTTTAATGCATGCTTCATTATAATTTAATGTTATTATGTAAGTATAGTGTATAGAAACTGTGCAGGAAATGAATGTGGTATTATATACCTGTATGTTTCTTTTGAATTTAAGTATCAGGTTTAAAATAGTTTAGATTCTTGAAAAATCTTGACCAGTGGTATGTTTGTTAATTTTATGGTAGGACATGCGAGTTACAGCTTAAAAGTACAAGGTCGTTGTCACAAAAAGCAGAAAAATATTTAAAGTTTGTGAGTGTTTTGTTCTCACCATTCAGTAAAGTTAGCCTTTTTATATTTCAAACCTAAATTCTATTAAACCTCTTATGCAAGAGTATGAAATGGTAGTTTTATAAGTGTCAAGAAATTTTACAATCAAAACTGCCAATTTTAGCTGTAGACCAAAAATCACATGAAATGTAGCTGTTCATGATTTAATGTGACTTTTATGTTAGAGTGCTCAAAGAAACAGTTGAGAGACTCGATTCGAGGATTCACCTAAACTTCAATGATCTTTATACATATCTATCACCTCAACTCTACATTATTTTCTCAAGTGTGCAAGTATAGCTGAATAATACCTTGTCGGTGTTCTTAATTTACATCAAAGAATATCAGTTCAATTTTATGCTTGATTTCTTCTATAAGCATGATCAATGTGTCATTAGTGATGTTCTCATGGAGTGAAAAACATTGCTCAGTCTGCTGTTGTTAACTTGAATCATGATCATAATCTATGCTAGACTATCAGAAGTTATTACAGGTGTAGCATAGAAGGACTTAGTCCAGACAACATGGGCTATCATAATTGTTTCACAAAAGACAAATCAAGTGACCGTGTCATTTTGTGTGTTAAGCAGTATCTCAGACTGGAACAGGAGCAAAGCATATATGCAGGTTTAGGCTTTAAGAATAATACAGTGAAACTACTGTGCACACTATTCAGTGTGCTTGCACCTCCATTTGTATTACTGTGCCAGATACTTGTAAACATATTCAACTATTTCAGTATGGAGGAAAACAACAAAAGCACTTGCTCGACACATCGAAAATAGCTCATTAGGGAGTGCAGTTACCTATAGAAAGAAGTATATAGGGCAAATGTTTTAGAGTATTAAAACTCATTGGTACCAATAATATAGCTTCTTTTACTTTTTTTCTCTCAATTGAAATATGACTAATTGTGAATTTTGTAAAAGTGTATGTTTGAGTATGTTGTGGAAATATGATTTCTGGTTAACTTGTATAGGTTTTTAACAATCTCCATAGGAATTTGTTTAAGTTACAAGTGTGCTTATGTTACTGTGTTGTGCTGCTTTTTCCTATGTAATCAGTAAATTATCATGTTAGTTAAGAAGAATTTAGAAATTTGAAGTAGATGTTTTATATAATTAATTGCTATAAAACAATTATCATGTTTTTATGTATAGTTTCAAATCTTTTTTTTTCTTTTTAATTACTCTACTAGATGCTATATTGGTTTTTATTTCTGTTTTGATTTACAGGTATGGCTTGGAGTGTCTCTTTCGTTTTTTTAGCTATGGTCTTGAAAAGCACTTTCGACAAGATATCTACCTTGATTTTGAGAGAGAAACTATCAGAGACATGCAGAATGGTAATTTGTATACTTTTACAAGTTGCATTGTTTTGATAAAGGAAAGAAAAAGGTTTTTCATTAATGATCGTGTGATATTTTTATATTTAAATAAACTTACATTTTTGTGGGTTTTTGGCCACATTGAATATGGACAGGAGGCCATATATGCAGATATTTTTTTCACAATTTTCTAATTTTTCTAGCTACTGTATTTTAACCATTAATGACCCACATGTTTAGTTTATGGGATGTTACTGACATTTCATGTCCTTGTATAATATTTTACGAGTATATCAAAATTAAGAAGTATTCTTTTATTTTTATATGAATTGTTTCTTTAAATATAAAAGTTCATGTAAGCCAAAGTTATTATGAATTTTTTTTTTTATGTTTTCAATCAGTTCTTCAAAAACAGTAAAATTACCCATGCTTTGTTAGAGATACATACTAATTCTATATTGCTGTTTTTCTTATTAACAGTGTTTACTATTGTTGTGAAAAAGTAGGTGCTTAGAAAATTTTCTAGGTTGTAGATGCAAACCACGAGGACTAACAATAGAACAGTTATCCTTAAATTTTATAACTCTGAGATCTCTCTGTGAGGTTTCTAAATATTAATTCCACTTTTTTAAATTTTGATTTATGATAAAAAAATTTCAAAGTCGTGATGTATACGTTTGTTTTTAGTTATTTTTTGAGATTTTTGAAGTTATTTGATTTTGTTAGCTTAAGTTTGCTGTCAGATTTTGTAAACTTTATAGTAACAATCTTTATGTCATAAAGACTTATTCTCGGGTGAATAAATGTAAGAATCCCTCATGTTTTTTAAACCTAAACTTTTACTATAAGCTTCTGCAATGTCGTTTTAATGAATACAGTTTCATTGGAATTTTGATGGTTAGAATGATCTGTCAAGTGTGGACTTGGACATGTATTAAGAAGTAGATCACGATTATTTTGTCCAACTTACTCTTTCATTTTTAAACTGACATTTTTCAATAGGCATGCATTTATCCACCATTTCTTACAACCAATACAACCAAATATTTCAATAAATGTGTTATTTGTTAATGTGTAGGTAACTAATGTGAAGATAAAGGGTAAATGTATTATCTGTATATATATGAGTGCCTAACTTTATAAGAAAAATCTGCAAGGTTTACTTTGTTGCTGAAGTTACATGTTATATTTGAACAAAGGATACTATAATAGTTTAGATTTCACTGCCTCATATTTATCAAATTAATTACATTTATATTACAGTCTACAACTTGTAGACTATACATGTCTAAATAGTAAAGGTAAGGCAAATTATAGCACAACCGTTGCTTTGTCAATTTTTCTTCTTTAAGCAAAATGGCCAGAAGCAGAATATTCCTACTTTTGAAAGTAGTGTGTGCATACCAAGATTTATATTAGTATTAATATGTTTATTAAATTTAATGATTAATTTTTCTTCAATATGGCCTTAAGTTTTTAATCATACTGTTTTAAGCTTTGTTACTCAATTTGATTTAATAAAAAAGATTATTTTCAAGTGGCCCTAGCTATTGAGAACCCCTCATTGGTGTGCCTCTGTTGCTGCTTCCTTTTCATAGACTATCCGAAGGGAGCCCACAGAGTGCAGATTGAGAACCACTGACTTAGTCATTTAGAAGTCCTACAAGTGTTTTCCTACATATACTTCAACTGACTTATAGTAATGTACGGGCAAACTAGCTATCCAGCATTAACTATCAACTCTCTTTTGCCATTTTTATATACACACACTTTAGGACAAGAACAACTTTAGCTACTAAGAGCTTACCCATACCAAATTTGCATTTAACTTCATTTTTGCAAGTGTGCCAGTATTTCTGCATGTCTAGGGGGTCTTCCATTTCTTCAGCACACTACCCTTTGAATATGGGAATGAGAAAAAATGCTGAGATCTTTTGGATGCTCTCTACCTATGTTACATCAGATAACTCTTTCTTTATAAAGTCAAGAACTTTGTTTTCTTGCAATATTCTATCTCCTTCCAGTTGTCCGAAGTAACCATTGACTTTTACAAACTATTAACATCACTGTACCATGACATTCAGTGGAGAGAGTTTTCTGTTACTAGTTGGGTGTGTTCTGTCTTATTGCTTTTGCTAAAATAGTAATGTTTTTTGTTTTGTTATTAGTTTGTGTGTCTGAATGGTTGTGTATTTAATGAACATAAAATGTTACACTTTCAGGTCAACTTTATGGCCTTGAAAAGTTCTGGGCTTTCATTAAATACTACAAGAACAGTAGCCAGTTAGAAGTCAATCCTGTTCTCAAAACCAAGCTCCAAGGATACAAGAGCATCGATGATTTTAGAGTTGATGTAAGTATACAGTATTTGCTTTTTGCTTCATTTGCAAGGTTAAGTTGGTTTTGTAGGCTGTTTAATTAAATCCAGATGTTCAGAATAAATTTTTTTTCAACAGAACTCAAAATCTCTACTTCTGAAATATATGCTCACTTGTTATTAGATATAGAGTTAAGGAAACTAATATATGACACATTGAGAGTTTCAAAATATATGTTGTGAAGGAACATTTTAAAATGTGTTTACTCAATAGTAAGGAGTTAATTTTCAAATTCAAACCATAGTCCCATGGCATCCTTTTTATAAAGCTTATGTGCAACCAAAAACAAAATACTAGAGATACTGTAGGCTGCTCTCACAGAAAACTGTCGCAGTTTTCTTAAGAAACAGAATTATTTTGTCCTAAATTTTACACAATACTCTAGACAAAAAACACATTTTACATTGTATCATGTAAGGGAAAAAATTTTAAATGCTTATAAATTTAGGAATAGCATTTAGTATTACCAGAACTATATTGGATGATTAATGTCATTACATATGCACAAAAAAACTGTGAATTTTTTTTTTCTTCTTGTATGGGCAGGTTTTTCATTTTCTGTAACATGCAATTATTTATTGAAACTTTAATAATATAAACATTTGATATACCAAATTTATGTATTCAGTGAACACTCACCACATATTTTGTTTAAAGTTAAAACATAGAATCACAAATATTTTAGGTTGTGTATTGATGACGTGATGTGTTTTAGTCAACAAAGGCCTATATTAAATTGCATTGTCTTGTGACAGTGAGTTATATTAAACTTCTACAATCTTATCAATGTATCATTAGTTTCATACAGTTAGAACTGGATGGAGTAAGAAGTTTGGTGGTTTAGCTGAAAGACTTTTGAACATCTTATACTTTCATGTAGAAAACTGTTGAGAGTGAAATTCACTTATGTGCTTTTCTGACCCTGCATGTAAAGTACACTCTTTTTATACTGGCCCTTATCACTTTCTGTGTTTGAAATAAATTAGTAGTGCATGGTAGTATTAAAAATAAACTATGTGATAAAAATGATTTAATGAGAAAAAAAATTCTCAGAAAAATAAGTCATATTTGAAAGAAATAAAACACTTTATTCAAGCATGACATTTTTAAAATTGACAGAACAATCAAGTAACTATCCTAGTAAATTTTTAGTAATAAAACTTTTCTTTAACCAAAAGATGTCTCTACAACAGCCGGGTTTAATAACTCACTGATTACTTAAAGGGTCAGCAAGGTTGTAAATAATATTTTCAGTTTTCAATCTGTGTTGAGACTGAGCGAGAACTTAACATGACATGTAACATTATAATGAAAATTAATATATTTCAATTTGTATTGTTATGGAGTATATTAAATAAGTATGAGTGATGAGGCAAGATGTTTAATAAACAGGAGCCCAGAAATTTTGGCACATATTTTAGATGTATCTTAAGTATACTGTGATAACTCCAAAGAAACATTAAGGTTATTCAGGACAAAGTTTTATATTGAAGAGTAGCTTGTGGTGCTACATAACTAGTAGAATGTAGAAGTCTGGTAACTAAAGAACAGTTTGATAATAATGAGAATAATATTAAAAAAAAAGGAGAAACGATTCGAGTTTTCTTACTTATGCATTGTGTACATTTTGTGATGCAAATAAATAGTGTTGATAAACTGGTTAATAAACAAGTTAAAATAACATTATACCACTCAGAATTATAAAAATAAATAAAAAATAATAATGAAGTACAAAATTTAAGGTGAAAAGTAAAATATAGTTCTAAAATTAATGTTTAGGCTAGATTTCAGTTTATAATTGGATGGGGTGTGGCCATGATCAGTGTGGTTGGACTATGAATCCAAGGATTCATAGTTTGTAGGTGTTGCCATAAAACACACTAGACAAGTTAAACCCCACTATTTAGTCAGGAGGAGTAGCCAAAGAGAAGTTGGTGAGTGAATGTTGATGTCTTTCCTCTCACTGGTCTGCTCAAAAAATCAAATGAAAATTATAAATATACATTTTAAAAAAAATTTGTAACTGTCAATAGTAATTATTTAAAATACACTTGCACTTGAAATGTTTTGGTACACTGTTATTGTTAAGTCTAAAATAGATCAAATTTGGGTCTGATCAGAGAAACTTCATATGAAAAACATGCAGTGTGATTTCCTGACCTAACTCTTTCAGATTGGATGACTAGAATAAAATTATCAAGATCTATCCAGTTGCAACATTCACCCATTGAGTTTGTGATTGTGTCAGTAAGATATATTCTATTTATTAACACTGGGGTTGTCAGTTGTTTCCTTAATCCTACTATAACTTGAGAGAAATTTGTTTCTTTGTCCTCTAACTCTTCCTAGGCTTTTGAATTTGGACCTGTCAGATATGGCTTCATGAACTAAGAATGATTTGAGATGTTTCAAGAAGTTATTTTTCTTTTAAAATTCATATTTAATAGCTTCAGCAATGGTTAACTATATATCAGTCAGCAAGGATGGCCATTAGTGGTATTGAAGGGATTTCTCCTTTTCCCTCTTTCTTTACATGGGATATACATGCAGTCTATGTACTTTTAATCATTACTGGAATATTTAGGACAAAAACAGAAACACTATTTATATTCATAACTGGTAAAACTTTAATTCTGTGATTGTATTTCATTTTAAAATCCCATCAATCATTTGAGGTATTTCCTTTCCTCACATACTTTCACTTGTATTTAGTGAGATGTTTTAAATCACGTTACTTATTGCTTTTTGAAAATAATAATAATATATATAAAAAAAGAAAGAAAGAAAAGAAAATATTATTTAAATAATCAAATCCAATGGACATGAATAATTTTATTCTTATGCACTTTCAATCTTTATATTACCACCACTGGCATATTTTGGGAAAAAACAAACATTTTTATATTAATGATTGTTAAAAATTTCATTCCCAAGTCTCGTCAGTCAGTTGAGGGATTTAATATTCATTGATATAAACACCTCGTAACAACACCTATCAACAATGTGTGTACTTTATTATAAGACACCTAAACATACACATTATTTCTTTTTTTTGTATTTTACACATATTTGCTGTATAAAGAAAGTGGATATGTTTTGCAGTAATTTTCTTAATATTTCTTTAAACAGGCTGCTATAATTGACAAACAGGAAAGAGAAGCTGAAAGGCAAAGGAAAGAATATGCATACCAAAACCAAGAACATAAAAATATGGAAGATAATATAAAAACTACTGGCAGAAAAAAATATCCATCAGAATCATCATGTGGAAAGAGACACCGTCAAGACAGCTTTTCTCTGACAGGAGAGAGGGGACAAAAGAATACTACTTCAAGTGAAAGTGGTAGAAGCCAAAATCATAAATCTCAATGGCAGAGCTCTGTTGGACCCCACAAACACGCTTCTTCACGGAACAGAAAACTGAGTGGTGACAATCACAATAAACGTAATCCACATAAAAAACAGTCCAGAAAAACTTTTGATAATTCCAATAGCAGTGAATCATTAGGAAAAGATGTACATGGTCAATCTGAAAACAGCAAAACCCATCTACCTGTGGAAGAATTGGACAACAGTACACCACAAAGCACTGTGGAGATGTCAGAAACTCCCTCTATAGTCATTCCCTCAAGTATTCAGCACCCACTACAATGTGGAACTAGAAATATGGACAAAATGAAGACTGAAGCTTTGTCTCAAGGTCAGATTGCTAATCAAAATGATGACGACTCTAACATTAACTAACCAGAAGTTCAAGAAAGATATGATTTTTCTCCAGTAGTGAGTTCATTTTATATCATTAACCGTTTTACAAATGTTTTCTTAAAACTGATAGGTTCATCAGTTCTTATGCATGTACAACATTTACTTAAAAAACTGTGTGTGCAGTTCTACTTCAGAAATGTGTAATTATAATATTTCATAAAAGAAAATCAGTAATAGCAGCATCTTAACAGTTCTGAGTACATGAAGAAATAGTGGGACAAACGTTAGTTAATTTCAGCCACCCTAAAGCATGTTGTTGTGTAATTTTAGTAAACATCTATAGAGAAACATTAAGTTACTAGGTCATAAAGACAAGTATATAATTGTTTGTTTTTTTGTTGTTGTTTTTTCAATTTATTGGCATTATAATAATTTCTTTCCCTTTTTAAACTTCTATTTAATGAACCTCCAAATTATTATTGCTTTAATTTCATTTCAAACTATAAAAATACAAAAGAAATTCCAGTGTTTGTTCTATTTGTAGTATTATTAACTTCTTAACTTTACCCAGCTTACTGAATGTCTTGTCGCAAAATAAAATTTTTATAACTTTCAAATATATATAATTTAACAAAAAAACACTTTCAAGAAAATCTAAATTCCCCATTAGATTCATTTCTACAGAAACTCCATGTAGTAACTTTCTCATTAAACCATAAATTACTGCTTGCCCCACTTGATTCACTCTTGTATTGGTGTAAATAAGAGTACGCTGGTATTTAAGGATGCTTCTAAGTATTTTCATAGCTGTGGTTTATTAGTGATTACTCAGACTACACGTTATAACATCATAAAAAGGTGGCAATGAAGTGCTGCAGTGATAAAAACCACTAAAAGAGAAGGAAAAATCTTGTAAGAAACAAGACATAGATGGGTATATTCTCATAGCAAGTACAAACCTTTGTTTAGAGATGGGGGGGGGGGTTATTGTAAAGAAAACTTGTAATTGCATTGTTTACAGATGAACTTCTTGGAGCTGTGCAGAAATGAAAGTTGGAACAATTTTCTTTTGCTTTGTCACTTACACGAAATAATGTGATGAAATATCAATTCTAAAATATACTTGAGTTAAAAGTTGTTTAAATAGTATGAATTACAATTTTTATTTCAATCTTGAAATTTAACATGCATATTTGCACTAGACACCTGAAAGGTGCTTTATGTTCTAGATAAAATAATGTTTTTTGTGTTTTTTAAATCCCATTTTCAGCAGTTAAAAAGTTATTTGCTAGTTCAGTGTCTAATGGATGTTTATTCTAAGGATAATGTTTCTATATTCTTCTGTTGTTCTCAATTCAAAGCATCAAGCCAGTTGATCCAATGAAGGCTGTTGTCAGAGTACACTGTAGACATGTTTGATTGTTAGCATCCTGTCATCTGAAAAGCTACTAATGATTTAGTTTTGTGAAAAAAATAACTCTTTTAAACTATGACAGTTTTGTTTACTTTTTTTTTTTCAAGATGTGTAATACACTTTTCAGAATAAGTACCAGTATTTTCTTTATCAAATACAAACAGATGGCTGGACCAAAAAGTAGTAATCTTGTACTTAATAAATTTTTATAATATCAATGTATAATATGTCACTAAAAGTAACTTTCCCAATTAACATAAAAGCCAACTTATTTTAAGGTGAGAGGTGATGTAGCCAATTTTGTTGTTTTTTTTGTTTTTTTTTCAGATAGCAAGGTAAGAGAAGAGCCCATGACTCTCTGATGATGAATTTACAGAATGTTTTCAACAAAATTATCATCATCTGATGGCAATTTAATTGTTATTGGTTTCTGGCAAGGTTGTGGTCATCTACTGTCAGCTTCAAGTTGGTATGCTTGTTTTTGCTTCTCGGGCAACTGTTGGTTATTAAAATATTTGGTATCGGTTCACATTTCAGTGCATGTAATGGTAAGTAACCTGGTAATTTTCAGTGGTTTTATGTACCGACACTGAAATTTGAATCAATTGGATGTGTATATTTGGTAAAAAAAAATTTCATAATGAGATTAAATATTAGTTTCACATCTTGTATTGTAGAGATAACTTTTGTTGTTGTTTTTTGTTCTTTTTTTTTAATCCAAAAGTCAGCTTATGCTTATTAATAAGTGAATTTGTTTGTATTACTGGGAACTTAATCATTGTTTGTTTTGCTCTTTATACTAAAAGCAACAAGATTCCAAACACTACATAAACGTGACCCAATATTGCTCAAGCTTACCTATTTTCATGTACCTTAGAACATATTTTGAGTTGTTGTTGGGCTCTTCTTTCAATATTGACAGCAAGTTTTGTATTTTGTAATTTTAATATAAAACTTAAGTAATATGTAGAATTTGTACATATATGAATGTAATGAAAATTTACAGAATTAATGACTTTTCCAGTAACTCCTCAAAATTTTGGTATTTGCTTGGACATCCTTAAAGTCTTTACTGAAAGAGACCTGATCTCAAAAGCGTTTGCAGTTGTTTTATGTTGCTGGTTCTTAAATAATTGTGTAACATGGTTTATCTGAGTTAATTGGGTGGTGTTATACAATTATCAAGCATTTGTATCAGCTGATATGGAATAACTATCCAGAAATGAGAATATTTTGAGCATCAAACTAAACAGATTTTAAAATAAATGAATATATATATATGGTCCTTAACTAAACATCTAGCCAAGTTGTTTAGCGTGATTCAGTTTTACTTTGTTTTAAAAGTTGTAGTGTATTTGTTTTTATAGTTTTCCTGTTTGAGTTTATTTCTGCCAAGAAATTGGTCAGAAAGAAAAGGATAAATCACTTCAATTGTAGCACTATTAAATAATGTTTTGAAATGTTTATCAAAAATTGCCAACACTGTAATGGACATTAATGTAGAAATTAAGTACACTGAATATTTTCCTAATCTGCATTTAGATAACACAAAAATAACAGTAGATAATAGGAAACAGCCCTGTTTTGTTGAGCATTATCAATATGGCTAGAACTATTTGATTCTTTGAAGCATTACATTTTGGGTTATAGTGGCTTTCTCTGTTATAGTCCAGTCAAGAATGTGGTTAGTTTACTAAGTTGTAGTATAGCAGATGGTTGAAGTCTAGTTGATGAATCAGTAAGAAGTTATCATAACCATAAATATGATCATATTCTGTGATAACTGAGAATAAAAGCTTCAAGAAGATGTGCTTATAAATGCTAACAGCAAACTTCTCAGTGATGAAACAACTTATTATTCTGCCAGTTGACATGAATCCAAATACTGTTAAATTTGTGGCTCATAATATTTTACATTAGTGGTTAAATTCACAAATAGAAAAGGAATTATTATTTTTAAATCTAATTATCTTCAATCCTCTTATGGATATAGCAGATGTGGTGTGGTTTTTATGTTATTATATCCTCTTCTTTCACTTAGAGGTTCTTATAATGATGCAGATTTTTTTATCTCTCAGGATAGGCTTCCGGTTTCAAATTTGCAAACATCTATAAATATATAAATACGTATAATTACAGAAGCATGTAATATTAGGCTGATATAATATTGTTTTGAAGAAAAATTGTTACCTGTGGCAACTCTTCCAAAGGTCTTTATGCTTTTGTGTGTGTGTGTGTGTTCTGTATTGTAGTTGCAAATGATAAAATTACTATTAATCAAATAATATAAAACTACAGTGTTTCAAGGAATGTTTAAATTATTAAAGGCATTTATTGGAAGTAAAGGTTGACTTGTAACTTGTGCAGATTAACAGGTTATTTAGACTTTGTAATTTTAATTGTGATGTAACTTTATATGCATTAAGCCTTTTCAGTTTGAAAAATCAACATAGAGAGAAAACATTTTATCCTTAAACAATGTGTTCTGGACTACACTCCACTTGTCTCTTCCTTGTTTCAAAAATCTGTAATGGCAACTTCTTTAAGTTTTAAAACAATTAAACATAAATTGCACAATTTGCTAAATCTGTATCTCCCCTTTATACATTTTTATTTTGTCTGATATCTTGTTTTATGTTGATTCATTATAATGACCTTTAGCATGATTAATTAAAGTTATAAGAACTGTTACTCATCACATTAGATATATGAATATGACAGCTTAAAATGCTGAATAAAAAGTGCTTCAGTAACCCATTTAGATGTATATATATGGTGTGTTAGCCATTAGTACATAACTATTTAAAAGTTAGTAATTACACAGTTTTATAAAATCAGAAGATTTTTTAAAAATCCAAAAAAGAACTTTGTTGTTGATGCCAAATGTTGTGGTTGTTTTAATTTTTTCAAGACCACAAATCAACTTGAAACTAATGTATGTGTGCAAAAGAATTACTGACTGCTACAAAGACATGCCAGGTATTCAGTAGTTGTGTCTGGTCCATCATCCAGTATTTAAGTAGTTGGATAGTCTGAATAATAATACCAATTTCTGGTATCTGTCAGTAGCTTATAACTGGACAGTTTAGGTTTGATGTGATTGCCTCTGACATGTCATATTCTGATAAAATTGTGTCTTGATCATATTGTTCATCTAATGGTGTCCAATTCATTTTGGATGACATACTGGTTTTTGCATTTAAGCTGTGTGTATAAAAAAAAATAAAAAAAATTTAAAACTGCTGTAGAGATAATTACGAGTGTATTAGTGAATGTGAATAATATTGGCAATATTAAAAAGCTATAATTTTGCTGAAAAGTTTTAGTTGCTCAGCAGATTGTATGATCTTTCTGCTTGTTTCTTTCCCATAAATCGAGCTTCTTGTGATCCTCAGTGTTTATTGTAACGTGTGAGCCTTTGTAGCGAAAGGTGAAAGGAAATTATTGTTTAGGGATAAGATAATTATGTGTTAGAATGATTATGGAAGACAAGTTCATCACTACTGTGTACAATTTTTATAGTATTACTATAAAGCTAAATTAGTAGTTTTATATAAGTGCATGCTATTACATGTCTCATTTGTCCATGTATAACAGCAGATTTATCACTGAATATATGTTTGTTATAAACATTCTTTATATGCAACTTAGTGATTCTTCTCCCCAAATATTTCATGAATGATAACAAAAAGTTGGAAATGAATTTTTGAACTCACTTGAATGATGGAAATATTTGCAAGTTTTTTTATAAGCAAAAACAAACAAAAAATGTGGTTACATGTAAGTTGATTCATTCCAACATCAAAATTAATAGAGCATTTGCATTTCTGTGAAAATAAAGAAGACCTCGTGTTATTCTAGAGTTTTGAAACCTATGCGAGTCCTGTATAAAACTAAAATTTACACCAGTGATGAATCTTAATTGTTTCCATGACATTCAGATATTTACATTATCTGTGTAAAATGTTCTTCTGATATCTCTCATGTGTGAGAGTTTGCAGTAATCTTTCTTGAGTGTGACTGTTAAGTGTCAGTTCTAAGGAAAAAAAAAATATTTCTCTTGAGACATTGTCCTTTTGACAGGTATATATATATATCCACACACAGTACTACTTCTCTTGTCTCATTCATAGAATATTCTGCAGTCCATTATACAGTCAGTAAATTTATATCCTATAATATGATAAAAGTTGTTGAGAAAGTCATGCAACTTTAAAGTAAAGAAAAAAACATTGAAGCTGGGTTAACTACATGCTTGTAATTATGATGTACATAGCTATGAAAAGTGTTTCTTGCTCACCAAGTTTAAATCTAAGGATAAACTGTAAATGTTTGAAGTGCCTATTGCAAAGGACTTGAAACCTAGAATGGTCAAGAGACTTTTTTTTTTTTAATTTTATTTCAGTATGTGTGTATTTCTGTCAGTAAAGGGAATATTTTTTCTGTATGTTAAAGATGTTGATTTAATGTTTAGGGATGCTATTTTTTACATGTCCACATTGAAATTCTTCGAGGGTTTTTTTTGTAGGTAGGTGCTTTTTATGAATTATGTATGTTAATAAAGTGCTCATGATTTAGTTGTCCTGATTAAATAGAAAAAAAATCCTATTTTTTGTGCGCTCTTTCTTACTTACAAGAATTAGTATGTGTAAAGAACTTTTTATGAATGTCAACACTGAAGGTAAGTGGCACAGTACCTTTATCAACAGACTTCACTTTGTTGCGTGTTACTTTACAGCATCATTCTCTGTGTACTTTTTTTAATATTAAAGATGAAAGAAATCCTAAAATTGGATCACTCATTTATGAATTGAGGTCACTTATCAAGGAATACAGTAAAATGTAGTTTAACCCATTAACTGTAGATGTCGGATAATTCTGTCATTGAAGTTCTATGGCTCAGCTGCGAATGATGGAAATATCAGTCAGTTGCACATATATAACTATAACTCTATGCGCATAAAGATAATTACCATTTTATTGTGATTGATGGCAACTCAGTTTTATCTGCGAGTCAGAAAATGGCAACTTTTCCAGTCCATTTTGGTTCCATGAGAGTAATAAACATTGGAATTAATACAAAAATTTTAAAAGGAAACAGTTTACAAACATACATCATTATTACACAGTATTCTTATATTTTCTTCAAAAACATTGGGTAGTTCACGTGCATAATGTAATATAATTTTGTGTGTGAAAGCAGAAGGATTCTACAGAAAATTCTGATAAAACATAATTGTAATGTGACTATATATATATATACAGTGCCTTGCAAAAGACAGTTTTCTTACAAGCACTAGATCTGACAGTATCCATACTTATATCAATAAGCAGTCAGTTATACATATCATTTTATGCTTTAATGGCAGGTAGTTAAATGTTGTTTTCATGAAATATCCAACCTGACTATATCTCAGTAGAGGTACCCACGTGAAAATACTTGATAGGGAGAGAAGTCAGAAAGACAAATGTTAGTGTTGTGGAGTTTGCCTGAGCCACAAAGTGAAAAAAACGGTAAAAACTGGAAGCAAAAATTTGGCCACTGTTTAACTCTATCCAGACAGCGGATGCACTTTTTAGGTGTAATTATATAACATTTATTTAGTGTAATTCACTAATAAAAACAAAAAGAGTTCCATCTTTTATTTGTACACAGCTTACAGGAGTCTCACCTGTAAATAATGCAATTATCAATTTTTTTTAGAATATTACTGCCCATCCCAAAACACAGGTTAATATTTGCTCAGAAACTATCAACTGTACAGAATATAATTATCTGTGTTTTTGCTTCTCATAAGATTTTCCTTCTCTGTAAATAATTTTATAACTATAGCATTCCAGTCACACCCTTTATGATGCTATAGCATGTAGTCTGAACAATTACTAATGAAGTACAGATATGAAAATAGCTATAGGCAACATTTAAATACCACTTGACTAAGCAGATTATACACTGTTTACATCAGAGTGGAGTGAATAAAGTATCATGAGCAGTAATTTATAGATTTGTGGAAAAGTTCAAGGAGGAAAAGAGGAATTAATTGAAAATTTTAGAAGAGTTTGTAATAAACCACAGATCAGAGATTTTTTTCATAGTTTCCTTAAAGGTACAAAAACAGTGCCTGTGACAAGGCATCTGGTAAACTTATTGAGGTTAAGTGAGTATGATAAGTGACAGCATACTATTCAGATGACTCAAATCCTTTTTCTATCAAAGATTAAGTTTTTCTTATTCAAACAACATAAATAAGTTATTGACAATAAACTATATTATTAGATTAGATTAATTATTAGATGTAAACAGACAGAGGTTATGATGATACCATTTTGAAAGGTCAGGAAGTAAGTCACTGATAAAACTTTGTTAGGTTTTGTTATGATTTATAGATAGAATCATAAAAGTGGTGACAACTGCAATCTCCTAAGTAACTTATCAAAAAAGAATATCTTGATGAACATCAACTACGTTGAAACTTACATGACATCTAAAATGTAATTTTCTAGTGAATGATTAAGAAATTAAAATTTATTATTGTTTTTCCAAAACTGTGTTTTGCAACTACCATTCATTTCTTTTATGGTCTCTCATATTAGTGGAGTGCCTAAGTGTTAAATATTAAACAAGACAAGAGGACTTAAGTTTAAAAGTATTATACACAGTCCTCCTTAAAAAGTAGTTCAGGCAGGATTCTACACTGCTTTAATATGATGTAGTGCATCTTTTACATAAAGGACTAATGCTTTTCTGTGATTTATAATCTTAACTACTTTATGATGAGTAATATATTGTTAGTAAAAGGTTTTTATCAGGAAACATTATCATGCTGGAACAGATATGATTACCGACAAAATTGCCCTTAAAGATCTATTGATATACGAACTGTGACATTTCACAACTAGGTTTCACACAAAAGGCAGCCCACACTGTATCACTCCATTATTTAGTGCGACATAACCATAGTCAAGCTTCTCACTTGTGCTGTAAGTGTTTTATTTGACAATCACTATGCAAAATGTTTCACCAGTTGTCAGCAACTCAGTGCTGACTGGCTTTACACCAAGCAAAATGATGAAAATCATTCTTGAAGGTTGTGATGTGTTTGTATCAAAATACTTGATAAAAGTTAAAACAACAGGTAGTAATGTTGTTAATGTATTTCAACATTCTTCAGGGTATATTAAAAGATTGTTGAAATAAATTACATTAACATTCCACATAACAAGAAAATCAGAATTATACTCGCAGAAATTTAGACACCAATAAAACTATTGAATAAACATAATTGGTTATAGCATTATTGGAAGAGAAGAGTAAATTCAAAGATAAAAAATACAGTTAGGTCAACATTCAAAAATACAATTTTTCATTTAAATTATTGGGGGACATGATGCAAAGGATAAAAAAATTAAACACTGTTTCTCTCAATTATATGTAAAGTCTTTTTAGGAAGACTTTAAGATGGAGATGGGAAGTTTTTGTCATTAAAATGTCAAGATATATATATCTGTGTTGCCGTTAATTACATGGCATCAACATTCTCTGAATTACTCACTGACCTTGAGTTCAGTCTCATCAGTATATCTAACTTGATTTTTGTATTCTAGCCTCTCCAAATTACCATAATTTCATAGTGAGCATCTTCTCAGAATTCATAGGTCATGCTTATTCACAAGTGGTCATATTGGAAGCAATAAAGTTGCTGTGAAATCACTACAAAGATGATTTCTAGCAAATTTTCACATTCCTAATTAACAAACTAATGTCAGTACCCATCCAATGTCACACCCAGAATGCCACATCACAAATGCCAGTTGTATTATTGTTCATCATCATTTATTTCACTATGAACTAGAGGCCATGGGTTGATAGGCCAACTGGGAGGTTTCCTGGTAAGACAGGGCCAAAGTTATCATAAATGGTTATGGGTTTTAAAACAGAATGTCTGCTTAATAACATTCCTGTGAATGCTACAACCTAAATTTTCTGTATTCGTAATTTTGTATATGTCCCAATTTGCCAGGGTGTTCTGATGTTCTGACCAGTTACTGAAAATAGTCTAAAAGGTTTTACTTTTTCAGTCCGAGTCCAAAAGGCTATACATTTGAACAGTTCTTTCTTGAGTAACCTTTTCCTTTCAAGATAGCCCCCCCCCCCTAGTGGCACAGTGGTATGTCTGTGGGCTTACAATGCTAGAAACCTGGTTTGGGCAGAGCACAGATAGCCCATTGTGTTGCTTTGTGCATAACCACAAACAAACCTTTCAGAATAAAAGGGCTAGTTGCAATACGTTTGGCTGAACATGCAATAAATAAAAAACGTGCTTTTGTATGCATTGGTTTCCAACACTTGGGTAAGAAATTGAACTTTGCTGTATTTATTTTTTCTACTAATGTGTGTTTTAAGTTTGTGGAGACAAAGAAATAATCCCATGGTTTAAATATTTATCACTGGCAACAGGTATCAACAGTTTCTATACTTGAGCACTTTGTTTTCAGTCTCATAATGACATACTGTTGTCAAATTTAATTTTCTGCATATAACCACTTTGTATTCAACCCACAATGAATTTTATTATGACAGTGATTTGAGAACAACTAGTTGAGCCAATGAAAGGTACTGAAGTTCCCAGTCAAACTTTAGATACAGTCATTCAGAGTATTAGTTCTCATTTGGAAGTTTATTATGTGGTACCCAAGTACATTTGGACCCCCAAAAAGTCAGTGAAATCACTAACAGTTTCCAGAACAGGTTGTAAGTGGTTGTGTCAGGCCATCAAGAGTGGAGAAGCCGTAGTGAAATTCCTGTCCATCAAAAAAGTTTCTGTTGTAGCAGATTGTTATAGTGTAGTATATATAGCATAAAAATATCATAATAACAAATGTAGAATCATGTTCATCGTCATAGAAAAGAAACTGTTTAAGTCTCTGTCCACTGCCCTTCCATGGTTGCACAGGAAATTGTTCTATTTGCTCTCATTCAATTTCACATTCACAAATGACAGCAGGAGTAAGGTCACACAACCCTGCAACGTCATAAGCAGTCTCTACTGGTTGTTGCCCTAAGTTTCACTTATGCTCTGCACCTTGTAACTATAAATCTCAGAGTACGATTAGCAAGATGTGGACTTAATTTTAGACCACCAAAGCAGATGGCTGGTTGTCTGGACAGGGTAGACCATTATGTGACTATAAGGGTTCAGTGCAGCTGATAAGCCTCAACTTCCCAACTGAATAAACAATTCAAAGCAGCAACTGGATGGAAAGTCAGCATGCAAATAATCAGAAAAAGGCTTTATAAAGTTGGCTTTTTCATCAGGTAACTACCGTATTTTTCGGAATATAAGATGCACCCTTATTTTGAAGACAAAGTTTTGGGG